AAGAAAGCCAGGCTCTGCCAGGGTGGCTCACAAGCTCCTTTTAGGCTGGTATTTATTGTTCACTTTCCAGTCAAACAGCACAGGCTCTTGTACTAACATTAGTACACAGGGGATTTGAAATATTACTCTTCAATATTACTGTGGTCTATATACTTAAAAAAAGGGTTCAGATAAAGGCTTTATTTAACATAAAATTCTTTTTTAGAGCCACCTTTGTTTCTCTCTCTCACACTCGCCATATGACAGCACAAATACTTTACATTTCACACAAACCACAAATGAGACTCTGTATGAAGGTGGCAGTCATGACAAATTATAAGGCTCTAAATCCATACCACTGAACCTGGGACACTCCAGCAGAATGCCCTGCAACCCACCACAGACCAAAAGAGTAATTTCTGAGTCATTCTCCAATGATGGAGAAATAAGAAAACCACAATGGTAAATATTTTTACACTAGACATTTCAGGGTCCTAATAAGAATTATTTTTATAACTAAGCATGGGGGTTTGAGATAATGGTATCAATATTTGTTTAAATTATTATAGTGTGAGATTGACAAGTAAAAAAGCAACGAGGACTATCATAAATCCTTAAAAAAAAAGAGCGATTAAGTGTACTTGCTTCTCCTTTTGGCAATAGAAAAATAAAACCTCTGTTGCTCCCTGCAATGCAATTTTCTGATGCCAAAGTTGTCTCTCCAAAATTCCTTCAATATGCAAAAAGTTAACCTCTCCTATCTCCATTAAAACATAAATAAGTGTATAAGAATGTTACAGCTCAGTGAGTGACTCTAGATTCCAAACACACTCAGAACTTTACTGTGGGTTTGCCATTTGTACAAGCAAAGAATTTGCTCAGTTGCTCCTAGAATGCCACAGTACTAAACACTGCCACTTCCACAATTAGAAATTTGATGAAAAATTACCCTTTCACATTTACTTTGCCCTTTTTTGTCCTTTTTACAGATCCTTAATGTTTTATGAGAGATAGGATCTAGAAGGTAGTGTCATCTTGGGAGAAAATAAGCTAAAATTTATATTAATAGATGTGTAAAGATAAGGAAAACTAGGGGGGAAAAAGCCCTAAAAGCAATAAAAACAAAAACTACATGTCCTGCATAATTCTGAAAGGCCTTATTCTAAAAAATATCCACGTACTCATCCAGATAAGAAACTGGAACAAAAAATAATGAGTGAAACCTGGACATTTTTTGTAGTTTGGAGAAGGACGTTTTTGTTATTCAGCATCAGTTACGCAAAGGGATCTACTACCTGAATAAATGGTTTGATATGTTCAGCTATAATGCAGAAACTTATCTGCTGAAATTTTGCAGGCACAAGAGAAGAGCTGTGCTACAGAATATCCCAAGGCACCCTCCCCTCTAGCCAGAGCTGTGAGGCAGCAGCAGACCTGCACCCCACCCCTCTGAGAGCCAGAGGTGTTGGTATTGGATACCTGCATCTGAAATTCTGTGACTGTCTAGGGGACTGTGCAGGGGATTCAAACTTCTGAGATGAGCTTCAGGGGGTGCCTAGAAATTCACAGGTGCTTATTAACACTTTAAGGATGTCCAGTGTTGCTGTCAACTGCTGCTCTTGACTGAAAACATGTAGGTGGTTGATTGCTGGTTAACTGTAATTAATTAATCAATTAACCACTAACGCTAGACTTAAACCACAGAACTGAACAGTTCTTCCACATGACAATCATTAGGGAATAAATAATGAAGAGGGAATAAATGCTCTTTTTCTAGTACAAGAATACAAAGACATCAAATGAGGCAAATAAAAAGAGGAGTTACTCCTCCGAACAATGTGTAAAGAAATCTAAGAATTATTTTCCAAAACATGCTAAAAAGTTAGAAATTGATTGAAAGAAATTCATGTGAAGAAAATGGATGTTAAATGCAATACATGTATCTGCTGAACCACAAATTAGGGAAAATGTTGAATATATTCATTATACTGAATGATTACAAAGCAAAGTAACACCACATGTTTATGCTACTCTAATATTCTATTTTTTTTTTTTCCAGGCACTGACCAGTAGCCACTGGTAGAAAAAAGATGGACAGATCTTTGGTCTGAGCAATTGTCTGTTGTCTTCTCTCCTTAATGCAGGATTTTTTTTTCTATTAAAAACTAATTCTGGACTATTTCTGTCATGTTTCTTCAGTACTGCATATAAATCTCTTTGTGTGCTATAATAAATACCAAGGATATACTGAATTTTCACAAAACCACTAGTAGCAAACTTTATAAACCAGAATGAGTCAAACTAAATAAAATTCCACTCATTATGCTAACGGAGTTCCAAAGTCCCCTCAAAGCCCAGAAATGCTGGCACAGAGCACAATTTATGTAACGAGTCTGTGGAAAACCCTTAGAAGTGCTGGAGTAAAGCTCTGCTTTTCCCCTACCACAGGAATGATCCACAAAACTACATAAAATCAGTTCTCAAATCAATGAATTTTCATCCAGACAAAACAAAGAAGAGGAGATGCCCATAAATTGGCTTCCTTCACTCTCTTGGAAAGCTTTCTGCTATCAGCATATGTTAAGAGAGAAACAACAAATAGGCCTCATTTGCCTAAGATTTAACACTAAATGCTGCAACCAAAGAGTAAATGAAAGGCTATCTCTATGTGGAATTGGAAATTTCTTGCTCTAAAATGATCTCTTTTTTCTCTCTCCCTCTCTCTAGGAAATATTTTTCACTAGAAATAACAGGGTTGTTTCATTCTTCACAGCCCAGTTTTCTTCCAAGGATGAATTCTAGAACCACAAAGAAGTAGATGTCATATCCAAGAAACCCAGTTTTAGGCCTATAAAAATACTTTTCAGTACTACTCTAAGTTTAATTACAGTAACATCCTAATTTTTCCTAAGAAAGATAAAATAACACATCAGAGCTCCACTTAGTTTCAAAGGGAAGTGTTTTTAGAGGAGTTGAGTGATAACACAGCACACTGTCAAAACATCTGATGACTCCATTGTTAGAGAGATCTGATTTCTTGGGAAAGGCATTTAAGTGATAAAATATTCTCTAACAGAATATGAGGATACTTACCCTCCTCCAAAGACACATGCTGATGTCAAGACAATGTGTTCCAAAGAATTCCAAAGTTTGAAACAAATTTCACAGGGACAAAATAAAGTCACTGGGGTAACTTTTTGCTGTAGTTAGGCACAGCACGTGACTGAAGTGATCTTACCTTTAAATGCAGTATATGGAAGGGGTGAGTGAGGAAGGAAGGTTGGACCTGGAACTAGGATTTACTGGCAAACTACTGATCTACTACAGGCTTTTTAGAAAATAAATTCTGGAGACGTTGTGTCAAAGATTGTTTAATGCCAGTATCTTACAAAAAAATATTAAAATGTTGCATAATCTCAACATATGTATTGATTCCATTCACATTTTTATTGAATGACATTTACTCATTTTGAGTCCTTTCTTCTTCTCTCCTCATTTTCAAGTGGGCTTTAAATAACTATTCTTCTAGAGAATATCTACTGAGCTCTTTTTACAAAAATTTCTCAGACTACCTGTTGGCATAACATTCAAGTAACAATACTACACGATGAGTCCCTATCTCTTCATTTGCCAGTTCAGTCCCTAATAGTTTAAGGAGTGATACATTATCTTATAAAAATAATTTGTAAGATTTGTTTGTGTATTTTAAGCAAACTCTAAAAGTGTTAACTTTGTCTTTTCCAAATAGAATTCGGACTTTTTTGCTACTTTCTTTACTATTCCATCTGACTTGTTGGTTTTTACCTCTTTTTGGAGATTACAGACAGGATTTTTTTAGGACAGAAAACCATAAATCTCATTCACTGAGGAGAAGCTTTGGCTCTGAACCTGAATACATATGTGTTTCACACAGCAACAATATATATTCCCCCTCCTGGAGTAGCTCAGAGTTAGAGGACTAATGTGATGTAGTCTTTTGTAGGCAGGTATAGAGTCTTTTGTGTATTGCACGGTACAAACAAATATAAAATGTTTTAGAGGTGTTTATTTCAAATTCTTAGTTCTATCTAATCACCAAGTGTGATGATAAAAAATTATCCCTGAACTCTCATGTAATCTACGCCAGATTCTGAGATCTGTGTGTGTCTTTTTACACAGAACTGTGTGCTGACACCAAAATAAGAAGTCAACCTTAAGGCCCTTGAAAAGTCCTAGGCCATCACTTACCCAGGCCTGCATTTCTTTACCTCCCATCTGCTGACCCACGTAAATTTGGCAACTTGTCCTTTCTTTTAGTTTAAGTACTTGAACATTTTACCAGTGTATGAACAGCATAAAAGTAGGGGGAATAAATTAATAATAAATTAATAAATAGGTACATTTGCTAATTTACTGAAACTCCTTTTATGTAAGGCACATTATCAAGTAAACTGTCCTGCAACTATAATTGGTGTATTGCTGATTCAAAGGCAAAGATTATACTGTTACAATGTATAATTCATTTGTCAGCATGACATTACGCTTTGATTAACAGGCAAACACAGTTTACCTTCTCAGCAATTAATTTTTTTATATATCCTACTTGATAAACATGATTGTGAAAATTATTGTATCAATAAAGTATGATTTCTCTCATAAAAGTATCCTAAATCTAAACATTTTCTTCAATCTTTTTCAAGAACTTGGCACTTACATTATATGCATCATAGTATGCTTTGATTACTTGAAAAGTTTAAGTAATATAAATCTTTTTCCTGAATAGGCTTAAAATGCATCTCCAGTAGTCTCTGCTATTTTAGTGTTAAATAATGAGGTAGCACATTGTTCCAAAATTGTTCTGAATTATGTAAACCATTTGCTACACGATGTTTGGATTTCGTGGTTTGTTTAGAGCTGTTTGGTAAAGCAGTACTTCTTCCCATCTTTTCTGGCTTCCTGGGTTTGCTTTTCTTTTCTTGAAGTTTACTATTATAGTTTTTCTTTTTATCTTCTGCTTTTTCCTCTTCTTCTCCTTCTTCCTCCTCACCCTCATCTTCTTCTCCCTCATCCTCTTCCTCCTCTCCTACATTCCCTTCCTCTTCATCTTCTTCCCCCTCTTCCTCTTCACCTTCTCGCCCCTCTCCCTCTTCTTCTTCTTCCTCCTCGCCCTCTTCTCCTTTTTCTTCTTCCCCCTCTTCCTCTTCTTCTTCTTCCTCTTCACCCTCTTCCTCTTCTTCCCCCTCTTCCCCTTCTTCTTCCTGCCCTTCCTCTTCTCCCTCTTCTACCTCTTCTTCCTCCTCTACCTCTTCTTCCTCTACTGTTTCCTCATCCCCCTCTTCTTCCACTCCGTCTGCTTCTACTCCTTCTTCCTCATCTTCTTCTCCCAATCCCCGTTCTCCCTCATCTTCTCCAACAGTCTCTTCTTCGTCCCCTCCTCCCTCATCTTCTTCCTCTCCTTCTCCCTCTTCATCTTCCCCTTCCTCTTCATTTTCCTCCCCTTCTTCCTTTTCATCATCTTCCCCCTCCTCCCCTTCTGCTTCTGCCTCTGTTCCTTCCTCTTTCTCATCCTCTGTTCCCTCTTCCACTTCATCCTCCCCATCTTTTTCTTCTTCCATTCCTTCCTCACCCACTTCCCTAGTTTTTGTATTTGCATCTTTCTCATACTGTTCTTCTTCAGATACCTCTTCTTCCCTCCCTGACAATGATTCTCCCAAATCCTCCTCTTCACCCTTTTTGTCTTTTACATTCTCCCTCTCTTTGTGTTCTTCTTCATCCTTTTCATCTTCTCCTTCCTCTTCTGCTTCTACCTCTTTTTCTTCCTCTTCCTCTGTATCTTCCCCTTCTTCCTCACTCTCATCTCTTCCCTCACTTTTGACCTGCTCTTTTTCTTTTTCAGTGCCTTCCTCTTTCTCATACTTCTCCTCCATATCCTCCTTTTCTCCCTCACTCAACATTTCTTCTTCCTCTATCAACCTGCCTTGCTCATCTCCTTGATCTTTGCCATCTTGCAGGCTGACCTCTTCAATCTCCTCTGCACCCTCATTCCCACTGTCTCTTTCAGCCTGTGATTCTTCATTTTCTTCCTCATTATCTTTTCCCTCTTCATCTTTTTCTACTGAAACTTCATCTCTATCTTTTTTAACCTCACTCTCTTCTTCCTCCCCTTGTTTACCTTCACTGTCAATTGTTTCATCCAGTTTTTCTTTTTCACTTTCACCCTTTTCACTGCCCTCGTTCTCCTGCTCCTGATCAGATTCCTCCTCATTCTTAATTTCTAATGGCCTGTCTTCATCAGATTTAGCATCAGAGCTTGTTTCCTCCTCATTCAGGCTTTTTAAATCAGTCTGTTCTACACATTTTTTCTCATTGTTTGTAGCTTTCATCTCCTCAATCTCACTGTCTTTCTCTAAGTCCAGATGTGTCACTGTTCTCCTTGCCCTCTGGACAACTCTGTGTTCATAATGGACCTCTTCCTTAAGTATGTATTTTTGGAGATCATTAGTACTTTCCTCAGTTGAAGATGAAGTTACAGATATTTGTTTCAGAAACTGATGGGTTTTTTTAAGCTCCTTCTGTTCTGCACCACTTTCTTCTCCTGTGACATTCATTCTTTCGCACTTGTCAGATTTTTCAATACCATTCTCTAATTTGATTTGACTTTCTGTTGTTTTCTGACTCCCTTGCTTTTTAACAGGAATGTATTCTTGTACAACTAATGAATCAGTCTGGGGCTGATCCCTGGGAGCAGAAGGAAGTACCTCTATTTTAAGGGATTGCTTAGATTTAACAGCTTTTGGCTTTTTATTGGAAGAATTTATTTTTTCAGTCAGAATTTGATTTTCAGTGGGAAGATTATATGTCCCATCCTCTTTGAAAAATTCAGGATTTTCCACACACTCTTTTTCTGTTTTCACTAATACACTTTTTTCATCAGTAATTTCTTGAGCACCACTTTTCAAAGCAGTATCACTTTGTGCATGCTCAGATTCACCTTTCTTTATACGTTTTCTGGCCACAGGCTTCCCTATAAAGGCACTACTGTTTTCTAAATCTTGTCCAGGTGACTCTGAAAGTGAAGATTGCTTTTGTAAAGATACAGACTCTGACACTGAGCCCTCCTTTGTGAAATCAGAATCCTTGTTTTCCAGCCCACCCTTACCATCTCTTTTCAGTTTCACATTTTTATTGTTCTTCTATTCCACATGAGAAGCAGAAAATTAAAAAGAAAGAAAAAAAGCATTAAAGACAAATGACAGCAAAAGAAAAAGGTTACAAAAGCATCTGAACAAGAAAAGAAACAATTTGTGAGAGGGGATTAAAAGACAGCATAAAAGGTAGAATATTTCACATAAAATGAATTTACAAGTGCACATATTAGAAGAATGTGACATCTTCTTATTGATCAGTGTAGTGCACACTTTTCTCACTATCCAAGGAAATTCATTAAGAATTGCCAGTACCACATCCCATAAACCAGAGCAGGAGCAATGCATGAGGCTGTGCAAGCAGAAGGAAATTAATACATTCTCTTACACCTTCCTCTTTTGGAAATCTTCTGATGTGCTCACTGTTATGCCCTTTCTAAGAAGTTTGAAAATCTGTTGTCTTTCTGCTTTAAATTTTACACTAATGTAACAAATTATGAATAAAAACTTTAAAAATCTAAAATAAAATATTAATGAAATATAAAAAAGTGCTGAAAAGCTGGGATCACTTTAAGAGTGAAATAGGAAGGTATTACAAAGTACTTTAATTTCATAATTAAGACCAGTATTATTGCTCCTTTAAATATACTTCATGGTGAATATCTGTAAATAAAATCTTTATTTACACTGTGCCCCGAAATATTTTCTTAGCAACAAATTGGTAGAAATATATGTTATCACCTGAAATTACAAGGTGTATATGATAATCTCTCGCTCCTTAAACTGGTGAAATATTATACACTCATCTTAAACTGCATTGGATATGTGGAGTTCTAGGTGCCTGCCCCAATTCTCTCTGCCTTCATGCAGCTTCTTAGAATTTTAGGTCATGGATATTCAGAAAACTAGCAAGAGGATGTCTTCAAAATTTGCCTGACTTTTTAAAAACTCAAAGCAAAATAACTGAGTACTAGGACAATGCAAGAATTGCAGATTTTTTTTAAACATCGCTATCAATATACAAATATATAACTAGTTACAGTACCTTCTGTTTTTGGAGTGGTGATAATTTTAAGGACCAGTCACCAGGATTCAACTTCATTGCGTGTGTCTGCAAAAAATAAGATCTCTATTAAAAAAATAAATAGATTTAATACAGAAAGTAGCACCAAAGCCCAATTCTACTAAACAAAGCTGTTTTATGAACATTTTAATATTTTTGCGCAGTCAGGGTGAGACAAACCTGTGTGATCATTCAGCTCATCTATTTCACTTCCACTCCATCATTTACTGCTCATACAGAGAGTGGTGAATAAATGTCAACACCTAAACTGTCTGTAGAGACTGAACACTACCCTGACCTTTCTTAGAGCCCACAGGCATGTTTGAGATCCACCTTCCACTCATTGTGAGTTTACAAATACAACCTTACTCCTTTCTCATCACAACCTTCAACTCAACATCCCATTTTGTACCACGGCCTTGAAAGAACATCTTCAAAGAAACGCTACACAGCAGAGTTTTTCCTTAGAATCTAATGACTTTATCTCTTCCACATAAAGCAAGAAACAAAAAGGCAACATAGAATATTACTAGGTGGGAATATATAACGAAATTTTGCTCGTCCCTTGCCATATATTCTAAATGTCAATATAATAATATTGTCTGCTGCTGATTGTTAACTACTCATCGTTTAACCACTATATTCTATTTTAATACAGAGAGCATGAACAGTTCTGGTTTCAGACTCCCAATAATTTGTATCATCAATATGACACAAAAGGTTTTTTCCTCCTTTTATCACATGTGTCAATAAGATGTATGTTGCCACAGTCTAGAAAAATTGAAAAAAACCTGTGTTGTAACAGTTTTCATTCAGATCCAAGAAGAGTAACCATTTGTTTTGTACTTTGACAAGTTTGCCTGATGGGCTTTTTTTTCAAATTTATGCTTAAAATTTTTTAAAATGTTTTAAAATTGATTCACGATAGGTATAAAACTGAAAAGAAGGAAGTCTAGCACAGAAAGTGTGCAACACTCAAATAATGCTTCAGTAAATTAATGAAGGCTATGCTGTGCATTAGATCTGATCTCACTTTTTTCTTGTAAATCAAAAGGAAGTTTTACAATGTTAAATAAATGGCATGCATAAACAGACTGTTAAATTATTAAGTACTTTTCAATGCAAACAAATAATTCCTGTAAGATGTTCAATCCCTCTAGCATAACTGTGGCTGTATTAAGGCCAGGACATGCTCCTCTCTGCCAAGAGTACAAAATGTTTTGGAAAGTTGTACAAGTGATAAGGTGAACATATTTTTTAAATAAAAGAAATATGTAGGAACAAGCTGGGGGATCACCAAATAATCAGAATGTCTGGATTTTGGCCTTCCCTTTAATATGATCCACCTGTATTAAAAAACCTCTTCTCAAAACAGGAAAAGATGCTCTTCTGCTTCATTTCCTGCAATTCTCTGTTGGAAGTCATCAAGAAAAGCAAGGTCAGAGATAGAGATCACCATGTGGCCTCCAGCATCTTTTACCTTTTCTTTCTGCTTTCCAGAGCTAAAGCATGTGGAGGCATTGCACTACTTGGACTTCTTGAATCTCATATCACAATATTACTTGGAAAATTAAAACATATTTTAGCATTGGGTAATGATGATATAAAATGCATGTTCATTTAACAGTGTGTCAGTACCTCTCAGTGTGACATATGATGTTCTGGGCTAGTCAGGAATTCTGTATTAGAATCTGAAACACGATTTAGCTTCTTTGTCTCCCCCTGCACAAAAATTACTGAATTACAAATCCATTACTGGAATGTATTACCATATTTAGGATGTCAGTTGTATCCCCAAGGTTTCTGTCAATATTTTCATTATCTGAATCTTGATCTGAAGAGACTTCACCAGGTTTATCTGTTTGATGGTTATTTTCTACAAGGTAAAATAAGGGGAAATAAATCAATGTCATAGGAACAAGCACTGTATAGCAAACAGAACACCCCACTCGTATAAAGCAGACATTATTTCTGTTTTACTAACATAGAACTGAAATCCACAGATTCTTCATTTCCCCAGCCCAAGACATAGCAAAACCACTTCCATCTCCTTTCATCAGTATCAACAACAGAGGTAGCTCAGCAATCTGATCTCAGTGTATCATAGATCTCTGACCATTTCTGCAGGCTTTCAAGTCTAAATATTACATGAAACAAAGATTCTTTTGGATTATCTCTTTAATAGTAGGGTAACCATTAGACCAAATTAGCTGCAGTCATGTTATCTCCATTGCACATTACCTATACAATGGATGGAGAGACAGGGAGTTTAAGGCAGCATCATAACATCATTGAGCTCATCAGGTCCATGACCACTTTGTACAGCACAAAACACAAGGTCTTAGGCCTAAGACTCTAAAGGAAATTCAGATTTCACTGCATTGCTTTCCTGGAACTAGAAATTATAATGGACATGCTGGCAGATTTAAAAACAATCATCTTCATTCTATGAATTGATTATTTTCAAATTAGATTTGTCTGTCCAGTAAATCTGAGCTATTACATTTGACACTTCCAGCATTGTTCTCCCCAGGAAATTACACATGTCCACAAACCCAGATATGTCCAGAACTGCTCTAGACAATCTGTGCCAAAGTCCAGTGCTGCATTATGGTTATCCAGACTTTTCCATTAGCTAGAATAATATAAATTCTTATCAACTTAGATAACAAAGAGTGAAGAGTACTTTTGCATTTCCAAGTGAAGAAGAAAGTTCCTGTAAGAATGAGTCTTTTCTTATCTTTCCTTATCCAAATTCCTTGTGGGCTTACCCATGTCTTTAAGACTTTTCCTAACTTTTTTGTCTACAATTCCTTCTTTCTTTTTTGTGAAAAGTAAGCTGTTAATTTTCTTACAGTATTTTCATGAAATCTTATTTCTAAAGGTTTAAGGAACCACAGGTATAATTTATAAGTTGTTTTTCTTTCACTCAAGCCCCTCTATATCTTTAAACTTGCTTTGCAAACAAAAACAGTGTGAGGCAATTTTTGTCTGCTTTTCTCAGCTTTCATGTCTCTATGTTGCAAGACTCTCCTGATGTCTGAGACTGAACCAGAACCTTCTTTGAGGTTCAAACAGAACATTTGTTTATGAATGATGAGAGTTAAACCATTCTTATCAGCAAACAGCAGTAAGATGTGGGGACACTTCACCTTTTTCATGGTCTCCATCCCTTACAGATTCAGCTTTAGGATGACTTTTTGCAGAAAACCAGAATGGGCTGGTGTTGCTTGTCACAGGCAATGAGGATTTTAAGGAGCTTTCCCCCATTGGAGGCAGAGTTTGTGCCATTCGAACAAACTGCTCTGGTGACCTTTCCTTTAGAATAGTGAAAAACAAGAGATTGAGGAAAAGGGTAGAAGGGTAGAAGAACAAAATTTAAGCAATTTCTCTCCTGCTAATCAGTGGTATTTGCTTTTAGCTGGGGATACAGTGTTGCAACTTAATAAGCAGAAACAAATAGCTTTAAAATTTTAATTATTTATAGGATTAGAAAGTGGGCAGGTGCACAGTGGGATTTTTAAGATCATCTCTATGCAATGATTCCAAGCAATCCTAAAATACAAAGGCGAAAAAGAACTTTTTTTGTTTTTTAATTTAAAATGAAAAACTAATCTCTCAAATAACATCAAGGTATTTAATCCACAACACCAATACATTTTTACAGAATAAACTCAAGTTTTGGTAGAGTTACTTCTCAGATATGTAAGCGAAATGATCCAATTCATTGTGCTTTTTAAGGAAACCACATGGAATGTGTAGTGGAGATAAAAGAGCAGAAAATAATATTTTAAGTAGCTACATCTAATATTCTCCTTTGGTATTTTATAAATTATGAAATTATTTAATAAATTTAAGAACACAAAGGGAACAGCAAAAGAGGCATGTTCTTTACTATATTTTAGAAAAATATTTCTAAGACAGTTTAAAAAATGCAAAGGAACTGCATTTTAGTTTTAGTTTAGTAAAATGTTCTACATTTTAGAACAAAAAAAATTACAAACTCAATTTGAATCTATTTCACAGAAATAAATAAGAAAAATCTGAGCAATTCCTATTTTTTTTGCCCAGCACCAATTTTTGGGACCAGGGTAAATATATATTTTTTCATATTATACCTTAAAATGAAACACCTAATTTAGGAAGATATATTTAACTGCTTGGTATATGCTGTGACTTCTGCTTTAAAAGTGATTTTGTTTCCTGAAAGAAGCATGCCAACTCTAAATCTTACCCTCTCTCGACGTCGTATCCGTGCTGCCGATAATTGTAAAGTGTTTGCTAGTACAAAGTCCCCACTCATTTTAGGGAGAGTAGCAGTCAAACGAGGCTCACATAAATCTTCCAAGACTACCTCAGATCCTTTAGGTCTTGGAGCAGCAAAAACCAGCATGTGACAACCCCCACAAGCAACCTACAGCTCAAAAAAGGTCTGATTACTTCATTTGCAAAGTACCAAGGATGCACTGTTGTTACAATTATCTCTAAGGGCTTAGATTATAAGAAAAAATGTAGTAAAAGTAAGGCATCCCAAATGGCTTTAAATTTAGTTCCTAATTACCAGCAAGATAAAAGTATTTAATTATGTTTATTAATGACTAGTGATCTTCTTAGTTAATATAATGCATTTGTATTGAACAGAACAAAAGATAGGTCTATCAAATTTTTGATACAAAAGATAGCAAAGATATTTCCACTGATTTTCAGGAGATTTTAGCTAATGATTTTGATACATGTCAAATGAGAACAATACTGATAGTTTCAATGACTCAAACCTAAATGTTTTATCACAAAATCAGCAAAATGCAAAACAAATTTGATACCCTCCAGTAGACAAAATATTATTACATAAAGATTGGAGGTTTCACTTTTTAAAAGGTTTAAAAAAAATCACTGCTTCCAGTAAAACTTCCTTCACCTGTAATTCCAGTAAACAGAAGTGAAAATAGACTTTTGTCCCAAGTTTTGTTCAATCCTGAGTCATGTGAGCAATTTTGATGCTGACAATTCTGTGACATTTGTTTCTTCCACAGCTCAGGAAGCAGATGAAAAAACTTCCCTTCCACAATTCTCAAAAGAAAAGAGTGTTCCTGGATTCTTATCCAATTTGGATTTAAAAAAACTAACACCTCAATTTTATTTAAGAATTAAAGATATCCTACTGTACAAAAATTGCCAAAATTGAAAAGATGGCTTTCTAGTATTCACAGAAAATATATAAATTTCCCAATATTTCCAACCACCCAAGAGCAATAAATAATTCAGTCTATAAGCTCTAAAGACCAAAACAATGTGGCACAAGAGTACTGAATAAAACCCTAGAGAGCAATCTCTATGTGTAGCCCAAGTCAAAGACATTCTAAACTAAATGAACACTGTGCTAAGCTATATAATTTCCTCTTTCCTTCAGTTTGTGTTGTCCACTATTTAAATGTTATAGAAAGAAATAATTTCAGCTTTCTTTATTAATGTGTTTCATAAAAAGATAAATATCTTGGTGTCTGAAAAGAGTGGAGAAAAGTTTTACCAAAAGAACTGTGAACTTCAAGAAATTGTAACACAGGGTGGGATCAAACAGATTTGTAAAACTCTGTTCTCCAAATCCTAACTTGCCATGTCGTCCATCTCCAAAAGTAAACATGAGGCCATTCTCTGCATGTGGGAATAAAAAGAATGTTAAAGCAAAGATTCAACACAAAACCAGGACAGAACCATTACAAACATAGTAACAGCCCATGAAAGTAAGGAATATTTCCCTTCCAAAAGCAAAACCTGAACAATTATTTTTAGATCTTCAAAGATGAATGTTATTAATGCATTTTTTCATATTCTTATTCATATTCATTTTTTCATTATTTCATTTGTCTGAGATGTTGGTCTAGGTAAGTTGTAAAAAAAACACCCCAACAAAATAATAAGATTTAAATTGTACAGAAAAACAAAGACTTCTAAACAGGAATATTTGTTAGCAAGGCATAATTAAGAGGTTATAATTCCCCAGAAGATACAGAGTTATGCATGGCATGGCTGTGAGTCAGAAATTCCCGCTGAGCCCACCTTTCTCACTGGCTTATTTCACCCTTAGAACCAGTAATGGATATGTCTCCTAGTGTTCATTGTACAAGGAAAGATTTTACAGTAGAGCAGAGAGTTGCTAGAAGTGGTTCCAGAATTTTGCACTCCCATACCTGCTATCACAGCAGTGTGATTTTCCCCACATGCAATGTTACATATTTTATGCCTCCTCAAGTGTTTCACAGACTTCGGTACTGAACTTTCAAACACAAAAGTTCCATGTCCCAGCTGCCCGTATTGTCCAAGTCCAAAAGTATAAACATCTGTCTCTGAAATTATACAGGCAAAGTTAACAACAAATATGCTGATAAGTTTCTTTCTTTCTTTATTTATTTATATAATAACCTACGTTCCGTTTGGCAAATGGAAGGCCACTGACATAAACATCATAAAAATAGTTTAATCAATTAAAAAATGTGCCAATTAATCCATTACATTTACCAATTAATGTACAACAAAATAAAAAAAAACCAGGAATCGAAGCACTGAAGTATACACAGAAAAGAATTTTAAATGGCTCAATGTGTGATATATTTTCTAGCATAAATGTAAAATAATCCACTGATCTTATGTACACAAAGCAAGGTTAAAAGAAATGAATGGGAATTTACATATTGTGATCAATTCCAGACCACGATATTTATACATATATATGCATTTTCACAATAGCCTCATCCTAATTTCTCATTAGCTCCATGAACATTATATGACCCTAAATTTAATAGACAAGACCTCATAATTTGTATGTATGAAGAGACTGGAACAGTAACAGAATATATTTCAGTATATTTCAGTATATTCAGTTCAGCTACCAAATCAGTCCTGCAATAAATACAGAGAATACTATAATTGTGTTATCTTGTGACAGAATAATCATCTTTCCACATTTATATTTTGTATGTTTAATGGAATGTCTGTGCCAGGAAAAAGAATAAGAGCTTCTCCAAAGCAATAAAGATTCTTCTTGTGTCCATCCCTGGCACTCCATCACAACAGGGGAAGATAGTGAAGCCTGGAAATCTTGATGAGATCATGGTTGAACATAGAAGATTTTTGGGAAAAAAAGAAGGTTTCCTAGAATTTCATTTCCTGCCCCTTTTATTTTTGCATGTAGGCAACAAAGGAAAAGTGAGAGAAATTCTACATAAAGCACTTGAAAAATTATTATTCAAAAACGGGAAAGATTATGAATTAACAAAACATATTCCATGTTAAGTTAAAAGAAGAACTTTCCAATTTTAAAGGAACTGTAATGAAATAGTAACATTACATATGGAAATGTTCTTTCTAGGAAAGTCTTTAATTGTTTCTTATAAATTTCTTATAAATTATTCCATACTAAGATGTCATGAATTCATACTATAAAAAAAAAGCCCAGTGGTCTCATACTTTTTTTAAATTGTAGATGAAAAATATTGAGTAAATCTGTATTTTTACTAAATGTAATAGTAAAGCTCCCTCTGCTGGAAATTTTAGTGCAAGAAAGTAAAACCTTCTCGAGAGCTTTATAAAGTAAAAGAAGTAGTAAGAATTTTCCTGTAATATTTAGACTTCCTGCATAAGAATCTAGAAACTACACCTGAAAGACAGGAGCTTTCTCTAAGCAAAAAAAAAAAGTCTCATCTTTATTTTAGTAAACTGCTTTCTCATTATGGCTGATTCCAAAAATTCTGTTTAGAAGTACTGCATTTGTCTTTAACAATTCTTTGGAAACCGGCAGAAACTTTAACAACATGGTTTCATCTGATTAACATAATTACTTTGAGTGAACTATGAGGTTTTTTCCTTTAATCCTAGCATGAAACATGCTACATCTTCTGCATTTGTGTTGAGAGGGAGATGTTCTCAAATGTTAACTTTAAAAATGCAGAGAATTTTTTCTTCCCTGCGTTTCTACTGAAAATGAGGGAAAAGACCAATCCCAAATCAGGTTAGAGTGCCTTTATATGACTAATAATTTCTTCTTCTGCCTTTATAGATCAGGGACATCTAAATGTTGCTACTCCTAAATTTGCTTTCTTAGTGAATTATCAGGGTAGAGGAAGTAAAAAAACCTTACATCTTTCTTAAATGATTCATCACTCTGGTGCAGAAGTGAGGTCAAACCTCACTAATAACTCCCTTTAGTAGAAATGAGGTATTTCCCCCAATCTGTCTTTATAAATGCCTGAAAAGAGAAGTGTTTGGAAAAGCAACTTCACACACATTGATAAAATGACAGGGGTGAATTTCATCATTCTGAACACAGCAGCAGCCCGTGAGAGGGCCCTTGAAGGATGAAGAGAAATGGTTTCAGAGCTTGCACAGAAGACAATGGTTTTGCTCTTCCAGGTGACCTCCAGCACTCGAGCACAGGAAGAGCTGCCTCTTTACTTCCTATTTCCCTTTTTGGAAGAACAGGAATATTTCCCTGTAACTGTGTTATCCTCCATCTTTGCAGGCATCTTTTGTAATCTCCATGACCATTTGCACTCTCAATAAAATAGTTCTAGGCAAAAACCTATATAGCTTTTGTATTATTTTTTAAAACATGTCGTTGCTGACAGAACTGTGCGAGCTCAAAGAATGTTTTTCAGAATCATGTATTCCCTCCTATGTATCTAAGGCTACAGATGATGTTAAAAAGTCCACAGAACTAAAAAGGAAGCAGAGAGGTAAGCTTATACCATAGGAACACAGAATGGTTTGGGTTGGAAGAGACCTTAAAGATCATCTGGTTCTGACCTCTCGTCATGGGCAACATGGATACTTTTCACCATCCCAGGTTGCTCAGAGTCCCAACAGCCTGGCCTTGAACACTGCCAGGATGGGGCATCCACAGCTTCTCTGGGAAATCTGTGCCAGAGCCTCACCACCCTCACAGCAAAGAATTTCCTCCTAATATCCAATCTAAACCTACTCTCTGTCAGTTTGAAGCCATTCCCCCTTTTCCTGTCATTTCAGGCTCTTCATTTCCCTTGAACATTATTTTTATTATTATTATTATTATTACTTCTACTCTAACTATTATGCCAATGAACTATTCACTCTCACAATAGCTTTATTTTTAAACAGCTTATGCTGAAAAATGTTACTGTAAAAAATCAACTGTCAACACAATGTTCAGTATTACCAGAGTTAGTAACTGGATTTGGGGATTTCTGTATAAATAGTATACAGACTTAAGAATGGTTTGAAAAATCTAATAATCCTATATAGTATGAATCGCGAGTTCTGCCAGAAAAAGGTAGAGGTTTTACATCCTTTTTGTCCTCTTTCAAAAGGGTGCCTTGGTTTTCTTTTCTTTTTAAAAGACCTTGAGACAGAAGATGAAAAATCCAACATTTTACATACTAATGCACTAATGTTCTTATGTCAAATGTTCTATTCCCAAGGACCCGCTTCACTTTTTCCTTTGAAGAGTTATCTTTGCTTTCCTTCTTTTCAGAGAATGAAAGGAAGTAATATATACTACAGAAAAAATCATTCCCAGAGGATCTGTCGTCATCTGAAAAAAACCTGCAAGATATTAAGGCCACTCCAAATCATCTGTTTCTTCTTCTTCCATTTCTAGATCCACATTTATTATTTTTCTACCTTTTAAAACACCTTATTGAAAAAAGCACACAAATTGGGAATGCTGCTGTCCCATATTTCACTTGAAAGTGATGACACCAACAGCTTTCACTTGCAGCAGAAAGCACTTGCAAGCATTGGGGGTAGTCAGTGCATTTCTTTCAGTCTCTGAGAGAACTTTTCTGGGATGAGGACAGGATCTTCTTGGACTGGCTGACTGACTGCCATGGAATGAATAGCTTTGTGCTATCAAGATTATACATGATAGAATTTTTAAATGTAATTCTGTTTATTGTCTAGAATAATTGTAAATATTAAAGGAAGAGGTAACAATAAAGCTTGTAAAGAAGATGGTTTCCAATACCACACAATGTTTCTAAAACCAATCTTTTAAAAATTGGGCTTTTCCCTAAATTATTGCTCTCAACAATTTAATTCTTGTTCTCTGGAAAAAATACTTGAGTTTATCATTCTGAAATTTCAGAGAAAAAATACTTGAAGAATTATTTTAATATACACTTTCTACCTTTTACTCTGATAGTTGTACAGATTCCAAAAACAGTACCTTGATAAATTAACCCAGATAACACCGGTTCTCACCATACAAAATTACCACTAGAATAGATAACTGTCATAAAAAAGAAATCAAATGAAGTGCTTTGGAATATACTAATCACACAGGAGAGTCAGGAAGAAACTGGCCTCGTACTCTGTAAGATAACTGAATTATGCTTTCTTCTAATTTGATAAACTCTAAGTAGAAATGATGTCGAGAAATGAGCCAAGATGTGTAACAGTTTTTTTCCGTATGACATTTTCTCTTGTGTTTTCATGATGTTAAATGAGATAGATGAAGCAGAGGAATATTCAATAGTCACACACTCAATTCTCATTTCCTGAGACTGAAATGTCATGTCCTTAAAAATTGGAAAGACCCTGAAAGGATGTAAACCACATCAGTATATATTGTGTTACTAAATGCAAGCAGCACCCATTTTCATGGAGGATGACACTTGAAATTCAGAGTTTCTTCAAAATTGTATTACTTTCTTAATTTATAAAAATGAGCTTAAAAGCTCATTTTCATGTAAATTAAATGTAAATGTCTCTTCTCCTCTTTAAAGATATAATATCAGAATTCTCAGTTTCTGGTCACACCACTTCACCTCAAGATGCAATTTAGGACTCATTTCAAGTGAAGTTTCTGATACAAAACCATTAATGTATGTATGTCACACTCACTTCAAATTTTTAGTATACATATCTACCTTTCTTCACAACTTTTTCCTCAAATTTTGCTTGGAGTCAGAAAATTTTCTCTATGAAAACACTTCTGACTACTGAAAGTATCTTTCATTTGAGACACTATTTCTACTGTCCTCTACTCTTTCACTCAAATGGTCTTAGTCAGAAGTTCACATCTGTCACCTATTTAATAACAGCTGAATTACATTTTAAAAAATCTGACTTTTCACTCTTATCACAGTTATTAATCTTTAGGAAATGTATTTTTTGGGGGGGACATAGTGTTCCTCTTTTTGTGACTCAACTAGATCATCTGGCACTCAACACTTTGACCATCAGCTGCCAGCTCAGCCAGTACTAAATTTCTTATTTATCTTTGACTAAAGAATTTATTTCCATTAGCAAGTAAATATTACATACATACATACTTATTACAGTATTTTCTTCATTGCATTTTTTCTATGGCATTTATATTCCTCTTTTTGTTCTAGTTCTTGTACAGATTTCACTATAATGATGATGGCATCCAGGTCTGTATCTTTCTTCTAAATCTCTCTAACAGCCTTTAGTTATAATGATTTTTTATCACATGAAATGCCATTAAGTTAAAATATCTATTGGTTGAACGATTTATGGTTAAAAAATAATCAGTAATGATAATAAAATTCTTTCTACAAAACTTCATGTTATAAATAATAAAATAATGCTGTGATTTATATGTTTGTTGGTCCCAAATTTATGGCAGTTTTTTCACGAATAACGATTACCTGATTTCACCTAAAGAAATTTATTTTGGGACATAGAATACTGCCAGGGTAAGACTGTATTTTGGTGGAAGAAGGGAGACAAAGGCATTGAAATGTAGACAAATGTTTACATTATTTCCTGAATTGGCTAATGCTATTTCCTCCTCACAGTTTTCCCAAAGGAGTTTTAACCAACCCAGAATCTTGCAGCTTGACTCACTACACATAATCCTTCCCAGCCTTCCAATGGCTTGCAGTACAACACCAAATCATATTACTCACAATCTCCCTCAGCTGGATTTTCAATTCATATTTTAGAAAGTTTGGCTGCATAACCTTGAAGGCACATCACAAGACTGTCAAGAAAAATATATATGACAACTAATAGAGAACCTTCAGAATACAGATTTAAGGACTGATACCTATACATGCAACTTGGCTTTACAGCTTTTTAATTTTGGCAGGAAAAAAAATTACAGGCCATACAGTTTTGCACATACTATATTCATTACAAGCTGAAGCTGATATTTTTGGAACTATCTTCAGCAAAGCTGAACTTACCTTTCCTGATTCTACATCACTCTAGGTCAGGATAGAATTTGTGGAAAAAAATGGCTGGCACTGCTTTGCACATATACCTTGGAAAAGCTAAGTCACCACTGGCAGACAACTATTTAACAGTTCAGCAACACAGCATTTTCCAAGTACTACATATAATATATATATATACCCTGTAAACTAATATGTAACAGTTGTAGTTGCTGATCTGTACAATATGTCAAATGTATTAGTTTCATAGTTATGCTAAAAATTCTGTTCAAAGGCACAAGCAAAATCTGTATCACAATAAGAGATATTTAATTAATTCAGGCATGCAGTAGATAGTGAAGCTACTTGAAAAGTGACTTCCTACATACCTTCCTAAATATTCAAGAGCATTTAAATTTACTATAGAATGGAAGCTTTCCTCTAGAATTTCCCTCTCACTGCAATAACAATTTCAAGCTCCTTAGAGGAAAGAAACATCAATCATCTGTGTTGTACCAGGTGGTGCTGGTTTATTACAATTCCAGTAAGAAATGCACTCAGCCTATGTAAAGTTCTCTTAAAATGTTATTTATTGGAACTAAGACCATAAAGAAAAAGAACACAGGATCAATAACATTCTCTCCCATCAGAGGCTGGGAATCCTGAGCTATGTGGAATTGAAAAGCACCCCAGGATGCTGTGCAGATCCTATCCATGGAAGGTTACCTCAGTTTGAGCTCTTACATCCAAAAACACTTTGTACATCATTTATACTGAAAAATTCCTCATTTTATACTGAAAAAAATCCACATGGGAACTTGCTGCCAAAGTTTCAAATAAAAGCAAGGACAGGCAAGTGGTGTCAACCAGGAGCTGCCTGGAAGCCCCTCTGTTAAAATCACCTGGCCAAGTTCATCCTGTAGCCAAGGGACATGGGCAGTGCAGCACAGGCCTGCCCTGGCTGCCTGACACATGGATTTCTACCTCCTTGGTGTACAATGCTCTTCCAGTTAGGATCAGCATCCAGTATTTCAGTGAGATGTAAATTCTTTAGTTAATGGAGTTTAAATTACATTTTAAGAAAAGCCAGTTAAATTGCATACCTGTCAGCACCACAGTGTGTTCTCCACCACAAGCAACCTTATTAACCTTTTCCGTAATTCCCAGTACAGGCTGTGGAACTCTATTGTTCTTCAGCTGTTCAGGGAATAATCCCAGTTTCCCATTCACAGGTTCTCCAAAAGTATAGAGCTCACCATCTCCTGTGAAAATACAAAACACAGAATTATTTCCTTCACACACTCTGGAGAAAGGATGGGTTGTCAAGGCTGCTGCAGACACAAATTATAAAGACGGAAAAGTGTATGAACATTACAGGAGAGCTGAACATATTTGCATAATGCCCAAACAACTGTGAAAAGCACTCTGCTTTGATGGGACACACAGGTGCTAGATTTTAGTCCCCTCCAAATTCACATATTTATCACAATATTTAGCCTGCAAGGAATGTAGCTATGGGAAAAACAAAATCATATACATCCTGGCAATTCCCTCTGTAATCAGTATTTAAGTCAACTGAAGTTGCTTGTAAGAATTTGAACTGAAACAGAAAATAATTTTATGTGGAATTTTGATGGAAAATCAACCTGCTCAAGCAGGGTCATCCCTGAACATGTCACAGAATTGTGTCCAGTCATTTCTAGAATATCTCCAGTGAGGGAGGCTCCACACCCTCTCTGGGTAATCAGTTCCAGTTCTCAATCTCTGCACAGTGAAGAATTTCTTCCTCATGTTTAGGTGGAACTTCCTGGCCATCAAGTCATGCCTGTTCCTCTTGTCCCAGGAGCAGAGCCTGCTCCATCCCCTGTCCCCTCCCTGCAGACACTGACACACAGAAATGAGATCTCCCCTTATCCTTATCTTCTCAAGGCTTTCTGACATTCTTCTATACCTCTTTTCTAAGAGTTTTTTTTTCAGTCATTTCAATCTGTGTGTGCTTCTTAAGAACAAGCAAATTACATCAGCTGCAAAAAAGTGTATTTAATTTAATTTCAAACCTATGGACCATGTTTAGGCTTCTCTGTTCAGTTTGATTTCCTGTTTTAATTCAGATTTTGTTCTTACATCTATGTGCAGAAATACTCTGAACAGGCTGATGCTTTGCTGGTATTTGCATCAGAATCAAATTTCTGTTTGAAAACAGTAGCCCAATTAAAAAGATAAAAATCAACTGCAATGTGAGGTTTTCTGTAACCAAAACATTCTGCTGACAAAAAGAGATTTTATTAAGCATTCTAAGTGGAAAGAAAGAAAAAAACAAACAAACAAGTAAAAACAACAAAAAGAATCCCTTATTTTTCGGAAGGTAAGTATTTTTTCAATACTCTTAGATCAGCCATATATTTCAAAAAACAAATTTTAAAAACCCCAAAAGCACTTGGGAGATAACTACTTATGCAGCTCTCTTTGAAGAGACCAGCAGTTCTTTTTAAACACTATTGCACTGAAAAAATTAATCCAATCTATCTAATTAAGAGGATTAGAGATTCAAATGGCCAAGCCTCCCAAACTAATCAAGTTCATTACATTTTTCCCACTTAATAATCCAGCTAACAAAGATAAAACCATTTACCAAAGCAATTTTTGAATACATTACACATCCCTTTTAGGCAAATAGTGGTCTAAAGACTATGAAAAATAGCAATCAAGCATAAACAGAACCCAGTCAAACACATAAATTTTGAGTGCAGTATGCGCGCTGAGGACATGATGTACTGTGTACAGTACACCTGAATTTTAAGGACACTCTGTTCACAACAAAACCTGGTTATTTAATTTTCTACTCTCATATGAGTCACATTCTCACATGTTGAATTTTCCCTAATGTGGCACATTTTCTGTATCACAAAACTTCAAATCACAGGAGTAGATCAAGAAAATAGACAAGTGAATGGAAAATGTCCCTCAAAGGCAAATGTGCATTTGAGAGTAGATAAGAGACCTGGCTGGTGGTAAATGGGAGACAAAAATGAGTGGACAGAAGAATTGGATAACACTAGAATTTCTTGAATAAATGAAGAAGACAAAAATAAATATTTATTAAGACCAAATTGTTTAAAACTCTCAAACAGTGAAATTCAGACCATGTGTTTGTGGGATGAATGATTCTTAAACCAGTCCTTAAAAATAATGACAAAATACATTAAAAAAAAGAATTCAAAGAACCTGAAAAACTATGAAAAGACATCGTCTCAATAAGAATCTATCCTGATGTTGATTACAGTTGCAATTCAGGCAGGGGAAACACTAGAAGGGGTCTAATATATTCAATTCCTTTCTGTATCCAAAAATCTAATTCTGCTGCAGAACCCAGGGCAGTGGTGAGATACATCAGCTTTCCCTGCTCTCCATGTCCTGCAGTGAACAAATGAGCTGTACATGCCTGCAAGCTTAATGCTTCCTGAAATATTGTCCCCTCCTGAGTGTGTAGTCAAATGAAAGTCAAGTGAAGATCTGTGTATGTGCTCAAAATTGTTGCTACACTTTCCCAGCAGTTTATTTCTCTGTTGATTTGCTTGAGACATAACCCTAATAGGGGCACACAATGTCCAAAGCCTGCAAAAAGGAAGGAAAACACACTATGAAAAAATCCTAAAGAGAGCTGGAAGCTACAGACTAAGAACTTCTTTTTGGTGAATGCAAAGGAGAGGGAAAGGGAGCAAACAATCATCTTTCAAATATGAACTGAGTAATCAGTCTAGTTCCTAATTTGCTGTCCTGGGTTGATTACGATGTTAAATTGTATCCCCATTCGTCCACCTAACCCAGACACAGGTTTTGTATTCTTAAAATTCCATCTAAGAGTAAAAGTGAGTGGAAAAGAAGCACCGAATTCTCTTCCCGAACTGGTTGGGGGTGGGAGAAAAGGGCCACATGGGTTTGCTTCCCGGGGGGAGCCCCACTGGAGGTTTTCTCCCAAATTTGCCCTAAACCAGGATATTTGCATATGGAATTGAGTTAGCCATTGCCTGTAAATTTCTGAAGTGTTTTTTTTTATTTATTTAAAATATTCAGGATTTATTCTGTTCTTCTATTCTACAACCACTTTGGCATTAGTGGATTCCATGTGTACACGGCAGAATACAGGTGACACATATTCAGCAGTTAAATTACTGTCTGCAAAGAAGGCATCCTAGAAAGCAGAAGGAAGAAGAGTGACATCATCATACTTTTGGAACTATAAGAGGCATTGCTCTTGGCTTTATAGCAGTTAAACACCTTAAAGATAAAAGTCTACTAAAAAATCTTCGACAACCCAGCAACGTCAAAGAAATAAAAAATTCAGAAGAAGAAAAAAACAACCTGGAATCCATACTTCACCACTTTTTTATTCAATACTCTCTAATTAATGAACATCCTGCCCTGGAGAGGGCACTCTGTGTCCACACTATGTTTTCTATGTCCTCATGAGCCACCTTTTAGTTTTCAGTTTTAGTTAGATATGCTTGTATTCTCAACAGGTTTTTCAGCCAGTGCACACCTTATGTCAAAAGCAAACATATTAAGGAGGGAGCCATATGGTGCTGTGCTCATCAGTTCAGTCTGACAGCATTTCATAACAAGTCTTAAATCCTGCAAGTATGTTACACTATTAAAGACAGTGTATTATTTGATGTCTAAAAATCAAAATGTGGTAATTCTATAGTATTCTAATAACTGGTAACACATCCTCTGACTATGGTATATTCAGAATAAATGTCTAATGTTAATTTTTAAACACTGTGTGGATACACACTGATGGTAGTGCAACAAAAAATCAATTCTACAAAAGTACTTGGATGTCCAATACTAAATTGTTACAGCAGCTGAAGTATCAGTCAAAGAAAACTGTTGGAAAGGGGCCAAAGGAAAGTAATAAAAAAAGTATGCCTTCACACAAAGAAGGTCACGTGTGTGTTAGTAGCTTCAGTGACAGACTGAACCCAATTCATGTAGGACTTGCAGATATTAAGTCTGAAAATTAAGATTTTCCATCTCAGGCCTGTTTAAGTAGTAGCAGGTTTAGCAACTCATTGTCATAGGTGATAACCAGTTAATTCTTCCTATTAATATTTAAAGAAGCTCCATTTTTCTTAACCAGGTACAAGCCTAAGTCTTTTTTTCTTATCCCCTTCCATTAAAAGTTTCCACTTCCTTAGGGGACTTGGCACACACTGATCTCTCTTTACTCTTAGATGTTCGTCCTCAACCCTTCTACTAATGAGAACTTTTGTGATATCCTGCTACACTCCTGGACCTTCAGCTTTTGGCTTGAAGGCAGAGATACACACATTGCTACAACATCTTTTTTCCCCTTAATTTTTTTTTGAGTCCAGGAAGCTGTACTTTTCCTAACAGGTGCTGAGGTCCTGATCAGTCCCAGACACTGAATTCATTTACTGTAATAAAGCACCTGTAATAAAAGATGCACACTACTAGCATAACACCTAATTAATATTTGTCAGCTCTTGCAAGCTCTCATTCTGTTAATAGCATGTTCTCAGAGAGCAATACAGGTACTGTATGTGGAAAAGTAACATTTATCAAGTAATCTGGGAAAGGTATCTGATGGAATAGCTCCTGGGTACCCATTAAAAGCTTTACAATCAAAACTATTGATCCTTTGAAATCTTTAATTACTCTAAGGGGACCAAACAGTAAAGTTTAATAATGTAAATCTATATGGCTGAGAGGAATTCATAGCTGCTCATACATAATGCCATCAACACTGGCTGATAATTCATCCATACTGGAATTATTAAAAGATGAGTGGAATCTTCACTTTGGAAACCAATGGAGAGTTGGGAAGAAAGAGGTGGAAAGCAATAGGGAGGTGGTTTGGTTTGGAGCTCAGACAACAGCTCACTGTAGTATTGCTTCTCCTCGTATCACGTACTGTCAGTTTAACTGACTTCAAAACATAAATTTTAAGACCAAACAACAAACTTGGACAACAATCTTTTACTTCGAACAAGATTAAATTTTTCTCATAACATAGCAACTCAGTTCAATATTGATATTTCTAGAGAAGATGAAGTTTATTATTTGATCATAAAAACAAATAACCTCAAAAAAAGTTGGTGTTTTGAAACCATACTTTTAATCCACAATATATGCAATAATCTTTATGAAAACAAACTGATATTTCATTCTTTCTAATATACTTTTGCACAACAATGCGCAAATGCATAAAATTAACTGCAAGTTTTTTCTCTGTGTGATAAAAAACTACATAGGAGGCTTTCAATCACATGGCAGTTTTTAACAACTATAGGGTATCAAGCTTCAAACAACTATTTCAAAACCACTGTTTTGTCTCCACTAACCTCTATTCTCTTACCTGTAATCAAGGCAGAATGATAATATCCACAGGATACAAAGGAAACAGGTTTTCCAATATCCACTTTACAGGGGACACTGACAGAGGCTTCACTGGCCAGGCCAATCTGACCTTCTGAATTATCACCCCACACAAAGAGCTTCCCATCCTCTAAAATGAAGATAGGGATAGTTAATAGATTTAAAACAAAAACTAATAAAAAATGAATCCATTTCTTGAAGAGTACTTCAGAAACTCTTTATATGATACTACTGAATGTCATGATCTCGAGGGTATAAAATGATAGCACAATGCAAAAAAGGAATTGGAAATAAGAGGGTTTTCCTTAAGCTTTTCAAAAGTGACCCAGAACATTTGCATGTCAACCAATGTTAGCCATAAATACCAACAGAAAGAGTACTATGGAAAAAACATTCCTTCAGAAAGAGAAAGACTGAGTGAGACAATTCAATTGCCTTAGGTCAGTATGAAAATATTACAGTGAATTTGAGGCATCTCCTCATTTCTAGGTGCAAGTCACCCCTTTCTCATTCTTCCAAACTTATTCTCTGCTCTGACTTTGGAAGGCATTCCACTAATTCATGTCTTATCTTTCAGTTCTCCTCACAGGTGGTTGTATTGACCAGCTTCACTTTGCTTTCCTTAAACTACAACAGTAGAGTTTTATTAAGTCCAGCTTCTATTGAAACAAAGACCAATGGCAACAGTAAAAACAACAACAACAAAAACACCAAAAAAGGTGGTGAACAACATGAGAAGTCTCTAGATTCTTCTAGAAGAGATAAGGTTTCTCTATGCATATTTCTTATTTGTGGGAAATAAGTTGTGAATAAAAAAGTACCACCTACAGTTCTACTGAGGTGGTGTTAGGAGCTAAAATAATTCAAAATTGTCCTAAAAATCTAAAAATTTCAGGAGAATGTCAGCAACTGGCATAAAAAAACCCAAAAATCAAACAAGCAGACTAGCATCTATCTCAAGTTCTGAAATTACAGCCTCAATAACTTACCCTGAACAGGTACAGAAAAAACTGCTTTACAGCAAGACTTGAAAAATTACATTATAGGGTAATAAAGGACCATCCACCCAGTGACTGGAAGTATTGTAACTGTGTGGATTTCAGCATGTTGTGGCATATAATTGGTATAATTCTTCCACCTGAGAAATAGGTGGGAAGCCCAACCTCTCCCAGAATTTGTAAGGAATGACACAGCTGTGCAGCCTGTACCAGTGGGCAGCAATAGTTGCAGTAACAAGTGGAATTAGAGATGCTCAGTTTTCATAGGATTCGTTTTGTAACTGCTTTCCCTGGAAATAAACTGAAGATTTTTTTTTTCCATTTTGAGTGTATTCATACTGTTCCTCCTCTGTAATTATTTCTACTAAACTTTCACAAAAACTCTAAGTTAATGAGACACACAACCCTTACCAGACTGCTAAAATACACAATTGCCTGTCAAAAAATGACTGTGGCTAATAGTGAGGATAGAAAATGCACCCACATATTCAGACAGAATGCTGGATAAAATGTCTTCCTGGAACCAGCTTGGACACACATAAATATATTTTATTAGCAATTGTTCTCACCAGTTACTGCTGCTGAGGTGTATGATCCAGCTGATAGTTGCTTGATCTTGTGCTGCGTGGTAAAAAAGCTAATTAAATGAAATGTGGTCCTTTCTTCTGTGTCACCTAATCCCAACTGGCCTTCACTGTTACCTCCAGCAGCATAAACATTTCCTTTTTCTGCATACAGAAAAGCACAGGTAATACACAGAAAGAAGAAACCAGAGCAAGTAATTTAATTTTCAATGGAAAAAACATCACAAAAATGTTAGGGTCTATTGCCCTGAAACACCCTCCAACTGAAATTAGCAGTTTCTGTTGTAGCTAGCAAGGTTTTCCTGCACACACTTGAAGCAGAACTTCCTAAAGGCCTTACACGTATTTAGACTGCATTTCCCACTATTCTGGAGACTGATGTAAAAATAAATGTGATTGGAAGTTCTGCAAGAGCTCTGAGAAAATGACTACCAGCAGCCCTGGCAGCTAAAAGCAGCTCCTTCCACAAATAATGTATATTTTGAGATAAAGTGGGAGGAAAAGGGTGCATGATGTCACATACAAGAAAAATGCAGCTGTATTAGTATATAAATTAAATAAATTAATGACTTGACAATTTTGAGTACTGTGAATGAAATATATTTCTACTTAGTTTTTTATTAGAAATATTTTACTTATTTTAATATTTAAATAACTTCCAATTTAATTAACCAGGTAATCTTGAATTTAATGCTGATGACAGATATCTTCAACTTTAAAGAACTTCAAGATTTATATTTTTAATTTTAGTATGTTTCACATCTAAAGTGCTTATCTATGAAGAAACAGATACAGCCTATTATTACCACAAACTCAGACAGAAATGTGATAAATAAACTGACATGTAATTTATAAATGGCCACAAATTATCTAGCCAGTGTGTTCACCAAAGGTGACTAATATTTACCCTGTGCAGCCTTGCATACTTGATTGTTATTAATATGTTCCATTTTATTCTAACAGTCTTATTTACAGTGTTCAGGGTCTCCACATATATAAACCTCCTAATAATCAAACAATCCTCTTTACAACATTACTGAAAGCTAAAGGATTGCAACCACAGAGATGGCTATTCCATTACATAAATCATAGAAGCATGACAAGAATCTTCATAAATTCTCTGTATGCTGTATCTCCACAAATTTAAGTTTAAATTTACAGTTTATTTATTTATAGCTTAATAAAGCAACTTGTCATTGAAATAGCAGATTATTTTGTATAACCAAATATGCAACAAAATTTGAAGACTTGAAAACATTCAGTTCTGTTATATTTATTCAAATATCTAACTTCACACTAGTAAAGATTATTTGTCAAAGGCAAATTTGAGTACAGATGCATATAAAAATAACAATAAATCTTTACAAGTCTTAAAGAAAATATTCATAATTGTTAACTTCAAATGCCAGCAATAAATTTTTCTATATGTCTATTACTAGGAAACTACTATCTAACATTAGTTTATAAATGCATTTGCTCAGAATAAATTCAAAAAATCTAAAAAATTCTGAATTCTAATAACTGGATGTCAAATCCCTAAGTTTTAGAAGACCCATTTTCTTTTTTTTTTTTCCTTCTTCAACATTTCTGGGATTATTAATTCAATTTTTCATGAAAGCAAAGGAAGAAACGTATCTTGAATATGTATGAAATAGAGGTTACTTACCTGTGTAAACTAAAGTGTGGTTTCTTCCACAAACAGCAAGTTTTGGTTTTTCTGGTTTTAAAGCTAAGAATTAAAACCAGAGGAGAGAAAGTTACAAACAGGCTGATAGCTAGTTCAACAACAAAATGTTCTATGCTCTAGAGGGAGCTCTGATTTCTTCTTTCCACATTTTTACCAACAGAATTATTTCAAGTATCATTGCCCATTTGAATCTAGCACATGACTTATCAAATCAGTATTCCCCCAAGATAAGAAAATAGGTCAGACCTTAAAAATTTAAAACACTCAGCTTGATGATGGTTACTTCATCCCAATGCCACAGTCCCTGGAATTTACCATTTACAGGATACCCCTCAAAGCATATATTAAGTTGCAGGGTAAAATTAATAATTTAAGCTGTCTTCAGTTTTCATTAACAGTGCTATTGTTACTTCCCTCTTAGACTTTTCCTACTATTGTAAATCTTTGAAATCCTGTCCCTTTGTCTTACCATCCCTACCTCCCTTTCTTGTGCTCACATCCCTTTTCTGCTCTGCTCTGTTGTGATCACTTCCTGATGACTGACCTCAATTGCCAAGGGCAGCCCTACCTGAACTAGTGCCTACATTTTTTACATGTGTCATGCCATCTCAATTTCAGCTGAGTTACCACCAATGAGAGTGCCATGGCACGCACTTCTCTGCAGTCTGGTCACTTTGAAAGACTGGGAATGTATGTGAGGGGAGTCAGGAGTTATCTTGGTGGGAAAGAGAAAATACAGAGGTTCCTCTTCTCTTATGACAGGTGCACTCCATTTCAGAAATAGAGAGGAAAAATGTCTCCCTGACTTTTCCATCCTTGCTCCAGTTACTGTTCATTGTCAACAAATTATCTTCTCTCAGTCATGTCCCCATACCCTATATAATGCTCTAAACCAGAATTATTTTTACATAATAAATCTTTAATTGCTTTTCCACTGCACTAGTCCATAACAAAGCCAACAACAATCATCCCTTTTACAATCCCTTTTTCAGCCCTTCCAGATCAACTTTCATCAGCTCTTTAACACACAGATTAAGGTCCCTTCTACCAAGTCACCAAACAAATCTATCAACTTAAGCATGAACTGCCCCAGGTCTGTCGCACAGATGCAAACTTAATTTTTTCAAATTCAGATTCCTGCATCTTCTATCCAACACTTACCTACCACTACCATCAGGCTGGAACCATAACATTTCCAATGGTGGCTTCTTCCTACAATCTTTATATCCCAACACTCTTCAGCATCAGAGATAATCTTAGTCAGCTCTTCTGAAGCCTGTGCTCCCTAAACTTCCTCCCACTTAGGTTAATCAATTGTATGTTAAAAGCCACGTTATATTTACAATGTTGCTGGTGACTTTTCATAACCAATTTCATTAATCTCTAACCAAGACCCAGAAGATATTTTCTCCGGAAACATGCAGACACAAGCATTTGGCTCCAAGCAGAAACTGGAAAGTGTCCTTGCAACCCCACTCCCAAAGCCAAGGGATGAACAAAGGCTAGTGAGAAAAGCTCCAGGAATTCCTCCTGCTGTCTTACTGCCAAGAGAAAAAAGACACCCCCCTTGTGACTTTTTCAACGGATGCCAGGTGTGGTTTGAATTGCTGTCATCTTTTCTTCATCTTTTTTTCTCCATTGCAATTCGACAGCAAACCCAAAACTTGAAACCAAATGTATTCGAGCCAAGGTAAGAATCAATCTCTCACATGGCTGACAGAAGATGTGTACATGAGAGCAGATGCATTCTCAATCTGAAGAGAGATGGAGGCAGGAGCAAATAAAGGACAGTAGAATAAACTAAATCAGGAAGAACAGAGTTTGAACAAGCAGGATAATTTGTTTTTAACAATAAGCTAACAGATCGATCTGCTGGCAGAAAGAGTGAAGATAAACATTTAATAGTAAAAAGAAACGTGTAATGGGATAGATCTGACTTGACATAAGTAAAGGGATAGGGAAAAGTATTGACTTAGCTTTGTTTGACGAGATAAAAACAGCTAAGAAAGATCAAGAAGATCACAGTGTAATGAAAACATATTTTCCTACCCGTAGGAATTTATTTTACTGCCTCATAAAAATGTATTAACATTTATGCCCCCTTGGGCATTTCTTATACTTGTTAAAAATGTAGCAGTACTTGTGAAAAGTTTCTGATAGATTTTTTTCACTTACAAAGGTGCTAAGAAAGCAGTGACACAGAGGTTACACAATGCTATTGGAACTCTGGTTTCTAACACATAGACAATGCAGAGACCAAGCATCTGATTATTGTCTGCAGTAAAAAATGAAGATGTGGCTTGTCAGAAAAGGCAAATACTACATGAAGTCAGAGCCCTCAAAAATGACTGGATTCTATGTATCTGAAGTAATCTAGATGCAAAAGGACTCAGAATCTGAAGTAATGGAAAATCAATAAGGGATCCTTTCAAGCTACCTTCACGATCTTGTGCAGTAATGTGCACACAGGATGAATAAAGAATCAGTTATTTTGGGATTGCATCCTATGAAGTACCTTTTTGCAAGGGTCTCCTTTCATAAAATAAAATCTAAAAAAAAAGAAAAAAGAAAAAGAAAAATTACACAAACCTTTAATACACGTCGGTTTGCTGACAGTGTTCTTTGATCCTAGTCCTAACTGGCCCCAGTCGTTACTGCCAAACATGTATAGTTTACCTTTCCCTGAAAAAAAAAATCATAGACAGAATCCATTCACATGTTTGAATATCTCACTCAAGACAAGATGGTCATCCACTCACGATGAATTTATTACTTCCTTTTTAATGTAAGGTTTAAGTTTAGGCAATTCAATATATAAGTGTAAAGAGTAACTATCCTTGTGATTTTACAGTTCAAAAATAGTAGCTGCATTGTTTAAATAAGAAATCCCCAGCCAGAAGAAGAAACATCCCCATCTTTAATCACAGCACAGATGAAGCTGTGAAAACAGCTTCAGAAAACAAGATGTACTTTTGGACAGACCCTGCAGTTCAGAAACCATAGTATTCATTGGCCCCCTTATAAAAGAACAGCACATCTGACTGAGCACCCTTACCCCAAAGACACAAATGAATAATGCAGCTTTGTGATAAACACAAGTACAGATTTGTAATATTTGGCTTATTTGATTGTTTAGGGTGGGATATTTCTTCTATTGCAAAATGTCTTAAAATTATTTACAAATATACATTTCTATCAATTGTTGTTTCTGATAAATTTTCATGAACTGTATTAATCTGTTGTTCTGAATATAAAGACAGAATGCATAAATCCACCATGCAGTCATAGAGTTTTGTAAACCTAAATGCAAACATTAGGTTACAAATGTTGAACAGGGACAATGCTAGGATCACCTTTCAGAAATTCCTATGATGTGTCACCAGACTTGCAGTTCATTGCAAACAATGAACCGTTATAATTCTGAACAACCAGTGCTTTTTCTGAGGATGGTATATGAAGATGAGAATTTTGTCATCTGGGATGAAAATTAGCCAAAACTGACTACTGACAATACCTTAAAAAGAACTCATTTAATTTCCTTTTTCAAACTATCACATCTTGTAAAGCTGTAAAGTTCCCATTGGAAAATAAAACCCTTGTTCCAACAGAAATCTGCAAAATAGAAACTGATTTATCAAAAAACCCCACAACAAAACAACATCCTCTCCCCAAAACTCCACCTTTTTACATCAACTAAAAGGACTTTGTTTACTTCTGAAGGTCTGCAGAGCTTTGTGTGTTGGACTCCAACATGTTGTCATCCTAAACAAAAATTTGGTCATAGAGCTTGTCACCCTCTTCATCTACAATTGCCACAACCACAATCCATAATAGCAATTTCATATAATAATGCCAAAATAATATGGCTGTTGCCAGTAAAGGTTATGATTGTGATTTACAGAGACTTTGAAATACAATATTGCAATGCTTTAAATATTACCCCAAAAAAATCCTATTCTAATAAAAATATCCATTCATTTTCTTAAATATAAGTGCACAGTTAAAAAGAAAAAAAACACACCAATGCTTAACTGGTGTCTAAAATCCTGATCAAATTTTTAGATTTTACAGTTCTTGGCACGTGGGGCTATGTGTCAATATTATATCTTTCCAAGAAAGCTGGAAGGGAAGGAAGACAGAGGTCAAGTTCATGCTCACAGTGTTCTACTAACAGCATTTACATCTCCATCCTAATTTTGATAATGTAATCATGTCAAACACATGCAGAGCTGTCCCTGACAGCAAACACACCATAACAGAAAGGATTTTTATCAGCAAATGACATCTATCCTGTAGTGGTATGGCTTCCTTGTATCCTTGCTTTACACTTTCCAACTGCTTTCCTAAGACAGCAGTATTTCTGTGGGAGTATGATGCCAAGCTGCCCTAATTCAATTTAAGCACATTCTCTTTTATCCATGCAAAATTCAAACAAGGTCATGCTTTTCATCCTATAATCTGCTGGGTTTTATATCAGTCTTTAAATTCTCAGGCATTGCTTTGTAAGTCAAGGAGCTTAATAGATGAGAGGAATTTTTTCACATTCTTTTACAACTAAGTGACAGCCTTTTATAACTTCAGGTTTCCTAGGAGTATAACAGCAAATAAAAAATCTGGGAAGCAGTTAATTTAGAAAGAGAATGAGAATTAATAGGCACTGCAGAGAAACCTAAACAAATGCCTGTAATGAAGCAATGTTTCTCGGTCTGTACAGCAAATCAAGTTTCAGAAGAGACATGATTCTGGCCAAGAAATCCAATATAATTTTGCATGCAAAAGGCCCAATTTCATAACTGCATACTGATATCCTAGCCATCACACAGATGCACTGAATCCAACAGCAGACAAATAGGCAAGGGTCAAATTGCAAAATTTTGTAAATTCAAATTGCTCTTGGGTTTTTGCTTCAACTTTGGTGCTGTTATCCAGATTGGGGCCATCTGTCAGGTAGAATGGCTGCACAAGACAGGTCCAGCAGATCAGATTATGACTCTGGGCAGGAGGGGAACAACAGGATATTATGAAAATGTCTACTCAGACTGTTTTGGTGATGAAAACACACTTCCAACAGGAGTCTCCACCCTTATCCTGATGCAAAACTGAAGTATTTCTCCCAGGTGTGTGTTCACTGGCAGGTACACCAGCAGACGTTTCACCAACAGCGATTCAGGGCTACCAAGGAAGCCACAAGACACTTCCATGGGTAGCAATAGAGATTTTGTGAAACACTTCAGCAAGAGATTGTCTCCCACCTCATTTCTCATGAATAGTTGCTATCATAGCTGTGATTCCTGGCAACCCCATCAGTCATGTGCACTTCTGGTTCATGAAGTGCTTCTAAAGGCATTCATTGGGCAGCTAGGAAATACCAGAGGAAATCCTGTATGCTTTGTTACAGCAGGCAGCCAAGTACTCTAATTACCTATGTTTAAAGGTATGTTTTACATATTCCCCCCTTTTCTTTTTAAATTATATGAGTGTGGGAGAGAAATAAGATGGGGAAGTGATGTACAGTCCTTGAATATTTACTACAAGATCCTTCTGAGAAACTGTACCTGAATAAGACATAAAAGGTAGTATTTTGTACAGAGTAGCAAATGCCAAGTCACCACAACTATTTTTTAAAATTATTTTTATTTGAGCTATTTAGTGAATAAATTACATTGACAGTTGATTTAAAATTCATATAGAAGTCAAATACATCCCAGGGAAATAGGAGCGGCATCAGTTTTGTTAGGCAAGTCATGATATTCTCAGAAACTTTATTGAGCAACAATAACAGTAATGTTTAGGACATTTGGCATCACACAAGCAAAACCAGCACAGTATGTTGTTTGCTCATATACATCAATACAAACGTGTACTAATCTTTCTCATCCTCCCCTTGCAGTTGATGCATTAGATACTGTGCCATGTTCTGATGACCCACTGGTAAGCAGAATGAATAGAAGAAAACTGGTGACAAAACATCTGGAGAGATTCCAAGGTTTCTTTGAATATTTAATGCCTTACAAAACCTGAAATTAGGAGTATACTATCTTCCTGTGGTTCCATATGTACCTCTTTTCACTCCTACTTTTATAATTGATACTTTTTTCTTTCCTTCTTCCTTCTTGTGTTGGGGGCTTCAATTCTCTCCAGAGCACTGAGTTCAGAATAAGTGTCTTCAATCATCAGCATTTTCCCCCTTGTGAACAGGATCAGGCTCTTTGACTAAATGTGGTTAAGCTGCCTAGGACACTCTAATCAAGGCAAATAAACAATAAGACAGCTGTTAACTTTAAGAGTTTTGTAGGAAAGAAAATTTAATACACAGACATTGGAAGGAGATTCTTAAAAGTATGCATATTCATACTTCTCCACACTAGCTCCCATGAGGATGAATTAATTGCTTTCCAAAGCCTTCATAGAAGCCGTTATAGAAGATGCAGAGAATGGACTATCAGTATTCTTGGGCCAAAAAAACACAGAAATGAGGCAAAAGCCATTATGAAACATATTACAAGTGATGCTGGAATATATATTGATCATGACTGCATTAAAGACCTAAAGAAAATCACTGCTTAAAAAAATTCCTGCTTGGATATTTTAATCAAGGTTATGCCAATGGTAGACAGCAAAAGAATAAAGAAACACAAATTTCAACCGCAAACTTCCTCCCTGGAGAAGAAAACATTTCTTCCACTAGCTCTGCAAGCCAACTCAAAGTCAGCAAGTAACTATCACTGGTCCCTTAAATTCCAACATGCAGCCACAGCATGCAAATTAAATTTTTGACTCTTAACTCCTGACCTAGAAAGGCAAAAGACAGAGTATTTTATATTTACTTTACCCTTGTCTTTATAGGAGTCATATGGGAATATTGATGCTGGATTAGATGAAAGATATATTTGAAAGGTTCTGAATATTTTGTTTGAATGCTAAATATCAGCTCTTGTACATTCTCTTCACTAGTATTCAGTCAAGATTTGGTGCTAGTGATAGCTATCTCTCCTGCCCAAATCCAGCATTAAGGAGTGATTTGTATCTGTTCAGGTGATTGTTTTACTTACAATTGCTGAGCCACGTTAAGTGTGAAATTTATATATTTCTGTATTTTAATCTACTTCATATTCCCACTATACCCTACAAATATAGCTCCCATTCCCTTTCAAGGTGTGGAAAAAAAAAAAGGAGGGGGAAATTTTGTGACCTGTAAAAAGACTGAAAGTAAAATGAAGCATGCATTAACACACACCTGCTTGAGATACTTTTCCTTCCTCGGCGATGTTTGTCTTTTATCTCTTCCAGGTCAGGTTCATCTCCTGAAGAAGCTCCTGTTTCCCACATGGTATGTGCCCTCCTCAGTAAATTCATTATCAGCATGAGCCTCTGGATCATTTATTCCAGGTGTTACTGAAGCTCAGGTTCATTCCCAAGGGCTTAATTCCACTGTATCATCCAATTCCATCTAACTGCAGAAATGTGAGGTGCACGTGGGCATGCACTGGTGTGAAGAACAAATGAGGGAGAAGAGCTTTTTCTTTCCCTCCTTCACTTTTTTGGTACGACTCTTGCAGTTTCTCTACCATTGCTTGTTGTTGAGCCACACCTCACCCACACTTTTCCTTTTACTTTACAGTGATCCAGAAAACCTTTTTCTACCAAATAAGTAATTTTCTCATACTTCTACAGTTCCTTGACTGCAAAAGCTTTGAGAAAATAAAGATCTGATCATTTAGAAGCCTCCCTGGTGACATACCTGCCCACTACAACAGCTAAGGCAAGCTACTGAGACACTTTTGAAACAAGCTGCATATACTAAAATAATGGAGAGAAGGGGAAATTGTACAGAAATGGTGCTGCATGAAAATCTCTTGTGACTTCTTCAAAAGCTTTATCTAAGTGGTCACTGTTACAGTAATATGGGAATTAGGGGATTGTTGCTGATTTGGGTTAACAGTGCCTGGCCCAGGAACATGCTGGGAGGCAATTTAAATTGACTGGTTTAAACAGAGAACTGAAAGTGTGTTATTTCAGACTGGGTGTGGGTATATAAAATTATATGTAGAAAGAAAATGCAAAAGGAAAATGCCACAGTGCCCCAGGTTATATCCGGATTAATTTAATGCAACAGGTAATTTAATATTATTTGTTCAATCCAAGAAAAAGTGTCAAGCTTTGTTCAAAATAAACTATTAATGTATAATTCTTCTTCTGTGAAGTTAGGCTTGAAAAATTCATCGTGTAATTTCACCTCAGGGTGTTCTGCAGCCCATGAAATCTATAGTCTTTTTTATTTTGCCTGGAATAGTTCTTTCTAAAAATTCAGCATCTTCAATGTTGGTTGCAAACATTGCAAGAAATCCTCAATAAATTATTTAATAAGCAATGACCAATTGGGTACTGATAAGCAATAACTACATTCCAATTTTAACAGTCCTGAAAATACACATATATTTTTTTCAACAACAAAGTCTTATTATATGTCAGCAGTTGATTGTCAATACAATCATCACACATACTCAACCACAGAAGTATAGTCCCTTTCATTCAAATTCCAATCAAATAAAATGAACAAATTCTTTAATGAGCACTGTTTCCATCATTTCAAAGAAAATAAAAAAAACATTAATAATGTTTACTTTATTGCACTGGACTTTCTTTGAACACCTTTTCCATTTATTTCTGATTTTTGTAAGATTTTCTGAAATCCTTTATTGAGCTGCTCTTTCAAGGATTATTTTCCTCTGACAGTTAACAGTAACTCCAAGCATCATTTGAGAGACACAATTGTATTTATTGTTTCAAGGATATTTCTAGTGAACTCCTGGTGTTCAGCAGTTACTTCCATGATACAATATATGTAACATACTAAACATTGTCAGATTCACAAGAAACATTCAGCCTGAGTTAAGCTATGCTTAGTTTAAATCCTGTCACACACTCAGTTACTACAAACTTCCTCCAGACAGTTCTTGGGCATGTCCTGTGAAAACCTTGAGCAAGCTCACACTAACTCCAAAAGCACCCAACAGTTTCCACAGCAGTCCTCTCTCCTCTCCCCAACCTGAATTAATGTATTATCTCAGGATGCAAGTAAGATTCCTAACTTTCAAAATTTAATTCAAAATTTTTATTTCAAAATTTCAAATATATCACCTTTTATCATAGAGGTCAGCTTCACTACAAGAAAGACATTGAGGGGCTGGAATATGACCACAGAAAGGTCTGGAGCACAAGTCCTGTCAGGGAAGCTGTAGGAGAAAAGGGGGCTCAGAGAAGACCTTATCACCCTACAAGTTCCTGAAAGGAGGTTGTACACTGGTGGGGGTCAGCCTCTTCTCCCAGTTAACATGCAAGAGGATGTGAGGAAATAGCCTCAAACTGTGACAGGGAGGGTTTAGACCAGAGATTGGGAAAAATTTCTACATGGAACAGGATACCCAGGGAAGTGGCTGAGTCACCATCCCTGGAGGTGTTTAAAAGATGTATAGATGTGGCACTTGGGGACATGGCTTGCTGATGGACTTGGCAGTTCTGGGTTAATGGTTTGACTTCATAATCTTAAAGGTCTCTTCCAACCTAAACAATTCTGATTCTATATCCTCCGTTTATAATACTGACCTGTAATAATAGCTGTATGTTCATCTCCACATGATATAAGTACAGGCTTGTCATTTTTGAACCAGAACTTGCTAGGAATATCTTCTGCAAATTTGCTTTTCCCAAATGTGAAAACTGCACCTGATTCTGAAACACAAAAAGATAATGTCAGTTTTAGTGAAAGAAAATTTTGCCTCACATATTTTGAAACAGACATGTTCTATCAATTAATTGGCACATTTTATTTTCTTATCTTTCTCTTCCTTCTTCTCTCAGCCTTCAAACCATGAGTTGGCAAAACTCTCATTTCACCTAAACAGGAGGAAGAACTTCTTTCCTGTGTGAGTGGCAGAGCACTGGAACAGGCTGCCCAGAGAAGCCGTGGAGTCTCCATCTCTGGAGATATTCAAAACCTGCCTGGACACAATCCTGTGCAACCTCCTCTGGGTGAACCTGCTCTAGCAAGGGGGTAGCATTAGATGGTCTCCAGAAGTTTCTTCCAAGCCCACCATTCTGTGATTCAGTGATAAAACTGCGATCTAAAAAATCCAAACAAAACCACCCCAAAATAAAGTCCAAGCAGCTTTTCAGGCTTTGTAGTCTGCCTGTTTTTCACAATTCTTCACACTTTCAAAAGTGTTAGCAACATTGTTTCAAAACACAGAATGTTAACTCTTTGTTCAGCTTTTGGTTAGGCAAGTGGTTTGACAGAAAACACTAATTCTACAGAAAAATAAATGAACTTACAAGTTAAATAATTTGTCAAAATCCTTGCAGACAATTTTTTTTATTTTTTTTTTTGTATCAGCTCAGATACAAAAGCTCAATTAAACCTCCTATTTTAAAATGTCAAAGCCTACGGTATAAACATAGATTTTTTAAATAAAAAAAAACAAGAATAAATGAAACCTTTTCCTTGTAAGTTTTGTTACCATGTAACAAATGCTAGGAAATACATACAATAACAGTAGACTGTTTCTGAAAGTTACACTGAGACATCCAAGTGCATTTACTTTCAATGATAACAATCTCATCAACAAGATGCACCCCAGCTCCAGAATCTGAAAGTTCTTTCTTAAACTGTATATTTAATTTTTATTTTAAATAATTATTTTATGCAAAAGCCTCCCCTATTTGCAAAGATGTTATTTTTATGTATCAGATGGAGCAGACATGTATAAATTATACTTATCACCTGCGTTTTTTCACTTCCACTTTCTCAGCAAGCTTTGTGCAGACAAACTCAAGCCTTTTTAAAGAAAGGGTTGAGTTTTCCCTTATTTTACCTAGACACATGTATAACTATGGACAAACTAAATAGCATCTGAAAACTCTGTTTTAAGTTTTCATCTCCAGCCAGACAGCCATGCACTTCTGAATTTTCTTAGTGATCTCTTCAGCACATAGAGAGCTCTCAGGTTCATTTATTTTCCCTTCAGAAGGGTTAACATGAAAACATTTTATGTTCTTCATTCAATGTATACAAAAAACTGATAATTTTCCCAATGTCTTTTGTTTCTCATTAATTTGACTAAGCCACATTTCACAACTTGACACAACTACTGTGCCCGGTTCTGGGCTCCTCAGTAGGAGCGAGACATGGAGCTCACAAAGCAGGTCCGGGGGGGAAGGGGGCAACAAGGATGACCGGGGGACAGGAACATTTCTCTTTGGAGGAAAGGCTGGGGGATTTGGGCCTGTTCAGCCTCGAGAGGAGACAGCTTACAGGGAATCTTACTAATGTGTATACCTACACCCAGGGGGTGCCAGGCTCCGATCGGTGTTAGGGAAATACACGACGAGCAGAAAAGGATGCTCAGGAAGTTGCACCTGAACAAGAGGAAGAAATTCTTTCCTGCGCCGTGACCGCGCGTGTTGTGGAGTCTCCCTCACTGGACAAATCCCAGAACCGGCTGGATACAATCCTGGGCCATGTGCCCTGGGATGGCCCTGCTACAGCAGGAAGGTGGGACCAGAATACCCGCGGCGGTCCCTTCCAGCCTGACCCATTCTGCGCTTCAGCGCTGCCATCAGTTTGGAAACCCAATCCCATCAACTCGGTAAATTAAATCCCACAGGACATACACGAGGCGTTTGTTGTCCCAGCAACGAGCAAACGTTTGAACACTACCGTGGGCCAAACCGCGGCACAAGCAAACCATTAATGCTCAGAATTAACCCTCCCCCGCGAGTGCCCGGCGCTGCCCCTTGCCCCGGCCGCTGGCGGGGCTGCCCCGTCCGGGCTCTGACGGCAGCGGACGCGTTCCTCCCCACACGCCGCAAGGCACCGGCCCGGCGCGGGGCCCGCAGCCGGAGGGAGCCGGGGGAGACCTGCGGGATGAGGCGGGCAGGGGCCGGCACAGGCAGAGAGGCACGCTCCCCTCGAGTGCCGGGAGGAGCGGCCGCACTCACCGGGCACGGGCAGCTCGGTCCCCGCGGCGGGCGCGGCCATGGCGGCCGGGAGGAGGCCGCGGCGGGGGGGCCGGGCCGCGGGCAGCGCCGCCTGGCGGCGGGCGGGGGCGGCAACGGGCCCGGCCCGGGCCTGAGGGCGCGGGGGGGGAAAGGGCTGGAGGAGGGTGCGGGATCGGAGCACGGATCACTGCTCTGGCCGGGGAAAGGGCTGGAGGAGGGTGCGGGATCGGAGCACGGATCACTGCTCTGGCCGGGGAAAGGGCTGGAGGAGGGTGCGGGATCGGAGCGCGGATCGCTGCGCTGGCCGGGGAAAGGGCTGGAGGAGGGTGCGGGATCGGAGCACGGATCGCTGCGCTGGAAATGATCTCTGGGATCACCGGGTACAACCTACGGGCAGCCCACCATGGCACTCGATGTCACTTCCAGTCGTTCCTTAAACACCTCCAGGGACGTGGCTCCAGCCCTCCCCGGGTGGCCGGCGGTGGGGCGGCACCGGGCCCTGAGCTCCCGGGGAAAGTTTCCCTGTAAAATTGACCCCAACAGTGCCCAGGTCGTGCCCCTGAGGACCCCGGGCTTCTTGCTGGCCAAATCAATACTGGACCCAGGACCGATGGTCTCCTTTTCTCTCTCTTCCGACCTTTTTGGTTTTCTTTCTTTTTCTTGCTACTAGGAGATAAGGAGCTCACTTATACCAGTTAACGTGCCACATGTACAATTTACTAATAAAACTTTGATTTTTTTTGGAGCCTCTGGCATTTGCCTTCCTTTTCAACCACGGACATCTGTAAATTTTGGCTGCTCCCTTCCTTCTTTCACAGGAGATTACCATGAAATTGGTCCATGTGGGAATGGGGCTCAGGCAGGCTCTGTACAGGGGTGTGGTGGATTGGCATTCACTGAACACCAGGTGCCCACCAATCCACTTCATCTCTATCCCTTCTCAGCTGGACAGAGGAGAGAAAATAAGGTAGGAAGCATAGGTTGAGAGAAGGCAGTTTATGCATACACAAAAGCAAAGCAAAAAAACAAATACTTTTTTTTCTATTCCTCCCCTTAGTAAGTGATGTGCAGCCAATTACCAGGAAGCAGGACTTAAGCACCTCATCTTCGCTCCAGAAGGCACATTTTGTAAAATAACAAATGCTCCCCCTTCCTCCTCCTTTCCTTAGCTTTTATCTCTGAGCCAGCCTCACATGATATCAAATATCCCTTTGGTTTATTTTGGTCAGCTGTCCTAGCTGTGTCCCCTCCCAAGATCTGGTCCACCCCCAACCTACTGATGGGTGGTGGGAAATTGGAGAGACAACGTTGGTGCTATGCCAGCGCTGCTCAGCAGTACCCAAAAAGATTGGTGTGGTATCAATACCTTTGTGGCTACCAATGCAGAGCCCAGCACTGTGAGGGCTGCTATGGGAAAATGAACTTCAGCTCAGCCAGGCCCGGTACAAAGTGTGACCTGACAAAGAGGCATTGGCATTGTCCCCTCCCTGTGAGACTGCAGGATGAGACTGGAGGCCTTGGTACCCCGACCACATTTGCTTTGTCTGCTGTCTTTTCTCCTGGATGTCACTATGGACACAAGCTCAGCCCCCAGGGTCCAGGCTTGAAGGTCGTGGGAGTCATTTGCCAGAGGACAACCAAGAGGAGAACCATGGCCTGGCTTTCTTCTCTTTCTTTTCTTCTCTTTCTTCTCTTTTTTCTCTTTCTTCTCTTTCTTCTCTTTCTTCTCTTTCTTCTCTTTCTTCTCTCTTCTCTTCTCTTTCTTCTCTTTCTTCTCTTTCTTCTCTTTCTTCTCTCTTCTCTTTCTTCTCTTTCTTCTCTTTCTTCTCTTTCTTCTCTTTCTCCTCTTTCTTTCTTCTTTTCCATTCCCTTACTGTTAATTTCTCTTGGATTTTTACTTCTGTTTGACATTTCCCCTGGCAACTGATTAATTTCCCAAGCATCTCAGGGTTGGTTCAGCATGAGGGGTCCTGAACAATTCCCACCAGGAGCTATCACCCTGCACGGCTTTTTCACCGTCTACCTTTCCCAGGGAGTCAAACTTTTTCTCTTTTTGTTTTAATTATAAGTTCCTTGCATTGTAATTTCAATGTATCACCCTCTCTGACAGATATGCCATCACCTTGATTTACACTAGTGCATCTCTCCTTACAGGGAGGAGGAAATGAGAAAGTAATGGTCATATTTCAAAACCACCTACAGTGCAGGTGGCATAAAATCTTATCTGACAATTATATTTGAAGGTAGAGACTTTAATGAAATCACTTTAGTTCTTAGCGATTGACCTACTTCAGATTATCAGCAAGCAGTTTAGCCTAAGGAGGTAGGCAGGCTGCAATATTTCACTTTCTGGGCCTCACACTGTTTAACACTACCACAGCATAATTGAAAACTTGGTCCGAAAAAAAAAACAGACCAAAAAACCCAAAAAACCAAAACCAAACCAAACCAAAAAAAAACCCTAAAAACCCAGGAAAATGTAGATTTCTTTAATGCAGACTACTTCATCTTTGTCAGGGCCCCAAAAGCATGAATAAGTCTTTATGCCTTGCCCAGCTCCATACCCATGGGCCTCATTTTGGCTCAGCTCAGGGCCAACAGTCCCTGCCTGGGCTGTGCTAGAGCCCCCTGGCCACAGTCCCATCCCTAGGGGGGGGCCACCTTGCTCATGCTGATCCTTCAAGTCTTCTTTTTTTCTATCAGCACGTGCTCCTGTACAAATATTTAACATGAAATAGCTATGAAATAGTATTGACACAGGTATGATATGACAGGATGAGCCCACACAGAAGAACACAAACTGTGAGTGGTGCAATAGGCCCTGGGAGAAATCTCTGTATCTGTAGGGTTTGACCAAAGAAAAGGTTCAGGGTCAGCCCCAGGCTGGCCCAGCTCTGTCTGGAACAACCAAAACAAATACCTTGGTTCTTGGTTTTCCCTCATTTGCACAGCAGCACAGCTCACTCTCTGCTTCCTACACCTTCCTTCCTCATAACTTTATTTGTGGGTTAAAAGAAGTCTTAATGCAAACAGAAGATGCTGTTGAATGGGAGGAATTTCACCAGCATTTCAAAACTAGCAGGGACCAGCAAGCAGCTGCTGCAACACTTTTGGTGAGCATATCCTTTAATTTTATCTGGTGTGTGGTGTTTGGTCAGAAAGCTGGAGTCAAAAGCAGCGGAATCCTGTGAAGGAGTGAGTGTTCTAGAGAAAGGCTCTGGGTGAGGGGTTTCCCTGCAATTTCAGTGTCCTTTTACCTCACCAGGAAGCAAGTTCTGGGACTTCAGGAGACTGCGGTATTATCTATTTCTAGTGTTTGTGGAATACCATTAATTTGTTCTGTGAGATTTAGCTGCAAAGTCAGGAAGGAATAGTTATTCATGAGGTCATTGTGTGCTGCAGGTACTGGAACCATTAGATATCTGAATAAAGTATAGGTAACCTTTCTGCATTTAGACATATATCCTGGCCATATTTGGGGAATATATTTGGGTGGGGAATACTCTCCTTGAAGCTGCAAGGTGAACCTGTGCCTCATTATTTTGTGTCTCTATATACCCTGGAGGCACGCAGGAAAAGCATGATGTGATGGGAGATTCAAAGTGAAGCAGGCAGACCTGCCTCTGTGACCTGGCTTTGGGTTCTTTCTGCACCCACACAACTGTGCCTGTCCCACCTGATTTCAGGAAAGTACCCATATGACAGCATTTCACTAAGCTGCCTCTCAGGTTTGTCACTTCTCCAAAATCAGGTTGAAATTTTAGAGGTGAAACTTAATTCCATATTTTCTCATGGTTTTAGGTCAGCTTCAACAAGAATAGAATTAACACTTGTTATATAACAAGTGATTAGTTCTATAAAACAATATGCATAAATTTTACATTCACAGGAATCCTAATATGCAGTAATTTTTGTTTATAATTTCTACATTACATCATATGAAAACCAAATGTTTTCCAAGTTCTATGATTTATTTGTTACAGTTTTAGAGTCCTAAAGGCTGGATGTTAATTCTTTTTTAGAAATTTTGGATTTTTACTGCAGCCAATCGTGAAATTTCTGCAGTTAACAGAGGTGATGGAAAAGCAGGTTTGGAAAACAACTGTAGTAAAGCTGGTTTTCTGAGGAAGAAATCTGATTTGTTAAGTTCCACACACAGCATTGTTACTTTTGGTGGTTTTTTTAACATTATAGCATAATGTTGGCATGAGCTATCACCACTGTCTGTGAGTATAACCAGCTAAGCACACTGTGTTTGATACTTCAGGATATCCTAGTGTCTGTGAGTCTGTGCTAATAGTCCAAAGTTATGCTGTCCCTGCTCAGAAAGGAAGAAGCCCAAACTGCTTGACCTTGCACTTCTGCCCATTACATTTTAACTTTGGTATGTTGTCTCATGCTCCTTCTCTGGAATGAATTTTTTTCCGTTTCTGCCCCTCTTTCAGATATGGATAACAGGGAAGGGAGCAAATTTATTGGAGGTCATAGCAATAAAACAGAATCTTCAAGGGGCCAGGAGCAGATCTCTAGTCCAACTTTCTTCTTGCAGCTTCTCAAACATCATATGAGAGCAGCTATGCCTTTGCTTAACCGTGTCTTGAAAATACTTAAGGATAGCAATTCCAAATCCTCTTCAGGTAGCCAATTTAAGTGCTTCAATATCTGCCAGTGCAGAAATCAGTGGTGAATATTTCTCAGTCCAATTCTCAGTCATGCCAGATGGTGAAACAAGACCTATGAACAGAAGCTGTTATTTGGCAAATTGAGATTAGATAATCTCTAAATCCCTGGAAGGAATTACAGGCTGAAATGAGAAAAACAAGGAGCAGCCCCAAAGCTGTTCTGGAAACAAGGAGGCAAAGGACAGTAGGGAGCAGCAAGCAATTGCATAGATTTTAAAGCAGGACAAGGTTAGTTTTTTCCCCACAAACAAGTTAAAAAAGCAAATCCCTGTTCTGAAAACTTAAAGTAATTAAAGAAGTCACAGTTATAAAACTATTTTCCTTCAGAATATACCAGTGAAAATTAAAGCAAATCCCGTGATTATAAACTAAGTGTCTTAGT